CCCCAAAACCCCAAAACCCCAAAACCCCAAAACCCCAACTCCATTACTTAAAATATTAAAAATGGAAGGTCATGCAGATCCAATGCTTCGCAACATCAACAATTCCTCGATGAATAGCGTTCTTTACACTCAAAAGAGGTTTAGGAACTCAAATTTCTCCTCTAGATCAACTTTGCTTCACCCTTCGAATGCAATCTCGCATGATTACTCCCACTCAGAATTTAAGCTGAACCAAGACCATCATTCCAGAGTGGTTAAAGATAACTTAACCAAGCTGAAATAATCTGAGGAAAGGCCACAGAACTAATGTATGAGAGGGTTTATGCATATATAGAACAACAGCGTCCTCACTGAGAGTAAAGATAACCAGATAGCCTTCGCAGAGATCCAACATAAGATGAAAATGTCTGCAGGTAGGGTTGTGAATTGCCAAAGTTTATGCACTTTAGGATCAAAGATAGAAGTACCTCTGATTACCTCCGGTAAGTGCCCGATTAGACCTCTAGATTTGGCTGTTCCTCTCAATTATGAAAAATTAGTCAAGCTTCCTTTCATAAAACAAGGAAGACTCACTAGGAAATATTTAAAAATGAGAAAATAAGTTAGAATACTTCAAACCAACGTAAGAGTAGAGGAATTATAGTTTAGTAACCTTAAGTTCAAACAAAAAATAGAGCAAATAAGTGCAGTCAGAGATACAAAGAGGAAAGCCAAAATGAATACCTCTAAGTTCTCTCCAAAGTAGACTCTATAGTAATTCTTTAGAAAAATCAATATAAATATTATGGAAAGAAACCCTTCAGAAGCCGTTAGACAGTCTAGGTCATTTTTAAAGTCCCATGAGAGAGAAATAGCACCGAAGGTATCTCCTATTAGATCAAGAGATGTGACAGCAAAATATCTGGAGTCTAAAACTTCCAGAGACACAACTATTTCGCCTATAGAATTTTCTAGTTCAAAGGCAAATATTTCCATTAAATAACCTCCGCCTGGCTGATAAAATCAAAGAGCTTCAAAAAGAAAGGTTTGTAATATGCTTGGATATTCACACATACCTCAAGCATGTAGATCCAAAGAACAGAGCTTTAAGGAATGGGGACTACAGGGAGCTTTTCCCAGAAACCCAGAATGTTCAATTTCCTTACAAGACTCATCTGTGCTTAAAATTAGACATAAATTCTTACTTCAGGAAATACCTTATTTCGATCCCAAAAGAAGTAAAGAGGTTAAGCAAGAGCATGATTAATACCCAGAACAAGCTCTACCAAAGAGCAGCAGAGGAGCTGCTTGAGTACTGTAATGAGGAGATGATATCTGCTCATCGTAGACAATTGGATAATTTCAGATCTGATGCCACTACCAGAAGTAATTAGTTGGTAACAAACTTTAGACATTGAAGAAAGTGATCTAGTCGCTTTCTCAGAGATGGCAAATACAGATGGATCCATTATTAAATAAAGTCTCTGATGTCAAGCACAACATAATTTTGTTGTTAAAATACAATGAAATGAAGCTCCTGAGAGCAATTGTTATGAAAACACAGAAGAAAAAAGAAATTCAACATCCCTCTCGTACTAGAGGAAGTATTAAGAATATTATCGCTGATGCCAGCAACAACTGGTATTCTAACAACCTAAAAAATTGGAAGTATCAGTCTCAACAGAAGATCTCTAGCTCAAATATTCAGAATTATATTAAGAAATTCAACCCAGCTAAAGATTCAAGTCATCTCAACAAAAGCATGGAGTCTTCAGATAATTTTGTGTATGATAATGGTGAATACATAAATACAACCATGAGTAAATACTCGAGTGTAGAACCTGCCATGACAAAGAGTCCTGTAAACTCCATCATCAAGGTAGAAGATACCTCTGACTTAAGAGATATGGAGAACAATTTCTTTAAAACTCAAAATAGAATTGATAGCACTAAAAGAGAATCATCTGTCCCGTTTAGCTTGACAAGCAACGGGTCTCCAAGAGTTTCTTTAAAAAGTGCACATAAATTAAGCTCGACAAAGAGACGCTCACTCTATAGAGGGTCCTTTATTCAATCTAAGGTATGCTTCTGATTAATCTCTAGGGAGCTCCAAGTGTTACTGAATACCTCAAATCAAGTGAAAACAATGCTTCAAAAGAGAAGGAGGATACTTCAATAACTTACCAAACAGTTAAGAAGGTCTCCCAGAAATATAATCTTCCAAACAAGGAAGTCTATGAATTAAGTAAGAGCTTGAGTTGACTTTTAGTGACCCAGTACAACAGCATGGTGACTATCAGTCAAGAGCCTGATAAGGTGAAGCCTGGTGAACCAAAAAGTCCTGAGATAAAATCTCCAAGTAACCTTTTACTCTCAAATTTTAGAAAAGGATGAAAGCTTTGCTAAAGGAATCAAACTCAAGGTTCTAAATCAATACAGCAAGCTGCTGGCGGATAAACATCCAGATGTTGTACCGATGATTCTTAGAGGTGTAGGCGTAGATGTAGATGCCAGAGACCCAAGAATCTCCATGAAGGCATTTATGAACCTCAACTGTATCCTCGAATATGGCGTTGCAGAGAAAGACGAATTAATTCAATTCTGGACAAGAGTTCTAGACCCTGAAAATAAATTCTTAGTAAAATAAGGAAAATGTGATAGATTTCTTTGATAAACTATCTAAAGGAAGATTTAGCAAGACTAACCATCAAATATTTAGGTAATTTCAAGTCTAACTTTTAGCTATGCCAAGGATGTGTGGCAGTTCTTTGAGCTAAAAGGCTTACTCACAACTAATAATACAGAATTAGACATTAATAGACTCAGAAAAGACATGACAGAAGGGACCATTGATACACAAGTATTTAGTGATATTTTCACAGTTGGGTTTGATCCTGAAATAAACCAGAAATAAAATATTAAATTTCTAAAATTGGGGTTTTGGGGTTTTGGGGTTTTGGGG